CGGGATACACCACGTCAGAAAGATGGAGGCATTTGATAAAAATGAAATAAACTTCGCAACACGGGCATTGAACTCACTTTCACTTCACATGCAATGATGAATAGCCTAACCCCTACACCACAGACACCTCACTACCTCTGAATTACAAAGTTCTATGTGACATATTTAACTGTCCTGAGTTACTTAGGCCAAGAGGCTAGAAACCAAATTTTCTATCTGCCCTATCAAAATCGTAAGATTATTCGGAGTTGTTATCAAGATATTCAAAGAATAGCATTTGAAAAAGCTTGACTGACATGTTGTGAAACTCAGAATTATTTACATCAAATTTCTCAAAACTAGGTATTGAGCAGATAGCACTTAGTAATTCTAAGGGGCCGACCAGCCATAAATAGTCTGTGGTTAGACAGACAAGCATTCCCTATCACTGAAAGCTAGAGGCTGCTACAGTATTGCAGACGACAAGGGTACATATCCAGTGAATATCCTAGCCCTACACATTAGCACTAACATACCAAAATGAAGAGAAACACAAAATCGAAGAACAGAATATAACAACATCTATGAGTATTTACATTCTTGTGAGGTCTACAACTTTTCAACAAAGTGCAAACTGCTGGGCATTCCTAAAGTACGTATACAGGCCACACTGGGTCAAAACATTATGTATATCTTTGGCATAACTTAATCAATCGCGTGCAATTTTATAGCGAAAAGCATGTGAACTGTAGGGATTTGTTTAGCCAGACTCTCAGCAGCTCAAAATGTCATCCTCCTCCAACAACATCGACACATTCCTGGAGCCAGAATTCTACACCTCCATACACATACCAGTACAAACACAAGAGCACAGGTTTCTATTAGCATCTTGATCAGTGCCCCTGAAAACTTGGTCCTTTAAGTTCTGAAATTTCACTGCAAAAACCTTTTCTTTTACAACACAAAGGGAAAATAAATGGTTTCCTTTAATTGTGAAAAGTTAAAAAAAAAAGACATTGCATAGCAAAATCGTTTTCTTTTACAACATAAAAAAGGAAAATAAAGTAGAATATTTAAAAAAGTTTCGGTTGAGAAGTTCAGTGATCTATTGTGCATCTACTTTTGGTACATCCTGTGCATTCAATACAAAATTTTTTAGACATAGAAAGACCTAGGAATGTGTGCTACACCGATTAAATATGACTACTGCCTAAAGAGGTTACGAACACAGTGCTGGAAAAAAATCAAGATGGAAAGACAAAACCGAATAATAGTAAAGATGTAGGACCTACATCTGGCTCCTTCCAACCTCATGTTTGTTGGAGGAAAGAGAAAACATTCCCATAATAATAGTCAATTTGTGTTGGAAAAAGACAAAATAGACAGAAGAAAAAAAACAGAAAAACAGGAAAGAAGTAGTACCTGCCCTGGAAACTCTAACCACAGAACTCCTTAATAACGCTTTAAAAAGTAGCAGCAAAAAAGGTGTTGGTGAGTAGGACTTCCAGCTGCCAGAAAAAAATGGAGAAGGGAGAACAAAGTTCAGCAGATTTTTTGTCTGAATGTTAACTGCTACCAGGTAGTTGAAAAATGAAACACACATGTCTTTTATTAATTAAAACAAATAAATCATTATCAACAAATGTGTCACGGCACAGTGGAATCAGGCGCTCGTCAATTTTTGGGCATATGGTGTTATTGGTATCATCTTAAAGGTTGTTCATTTGCCTTGCTTTCGATGAAAGAAATATCCGTTTATCTTGAATAAAAGTTGAGATATTCACAATTGAAGGAGGAGAGGTCGTCTGGTTTCTGAGGTAAAATTAGCGAGAAAATGGCCACCAAAGGTTGATGACTTCCATAGCTCAAGAGTCATTGGAAACTGCAAATTTGTATTTGTTGTGCCTTTAATCAACATTTTTCCATAAAATCCACACATAAAAGTGTTTTTGAATGGACATACAAGGTGATGAGCCAAAAAAAAAAAATTAGAAAAAAATTTCCAAACTGGACGAAACGTGTCGATTTCAAACTGGACGAAACTTGCCGATTTCTCGGATTTCATTATTTTGACGAGCGCCTGATTTCACAACGATGCCTCACAATTACAATATTGAACGGAAAACAAAACAAAAAAACAGAGAAAAACCACCAAGTTCAAAGAGGACACAGGTTGGTTGCGGAGAGGAAAAACATTTTCACATCTGTTGCTTTGCAAAACTGTAAATGAAGATCAGCTTGACTCAAAAACAAATCAGGTTACAGTCAAGTCAATGAAATGGGGAGGGGGGGGGGGGTGTGGAGTAACTAAAAAATCTGCAGTAAGGTTTGGCACTTGTGAATTCACTAGAATTTAAAAAAGTACCCCACCATTTAACACTATGCCCCCCTCGGGACGCCGATCGGTGACGGTAAGAAGCCGTCCATTTTCCTCATGGGACGCCGATCGGTGACGGTGTGATATAGCATGTACCTCACCTGTATCCTGGTCCATGGGGATAAGTGTTGTGTGCAGCGAGGGTGAAAAGTCTTAAAATTCTAGACTACATAGACCAGTGAAAGGCAAGAGACCATGTCACTGAAATGATTGAGTATAGTCATAAAACATACACGTCTTGCTGGTATATTATTGCATAAATCTCTGAGGATGGAGTAAGTAATAAATTGCTCCTTCTCAAAAAATATTTTTTAATGGTCAATAGGCATCTGAGTTCTTTTAACTTTACATTAAAAGCTACTTCCTTCCTCCTAAACATGGATCTCAGTGAAGAAACTAACTTACAATTTTTATAATACTTTTTTGTAAAGTGAGTATCAATGCACCAGGGCAAATTTCGTCACAGAAAGATGTTTTCAAAGACACACCATCATCAGACCATAAACATCAATTAATGGAGAAGCCGAGCTGAAAAATTACTGTGAGTGATCATAATTGCAACCATCTTTTCCCTGGAGCACATCAAAATGTCAGTGACACAAACAAATAAGAGTGGACCACACCACAAGACCCATTCCTTTCGTTTTGTAGTTTTAGCAAGGGTTTCACAGCACTGCCAACACAAAAAGGTCATAATGAGCGCCGAAAATTAGAAGTGACACTAGAATGTAACATACATGGAAAAGAGAAGAGATAAGAATGATAGATGTGTGGTAGGAAAGAATGAGCAAACCACACCAGAGCGCCCACCTTTGGCTTGTTTGGTCAAACATAGATGATGCCACATCCCACAACGACAATCATGTGTGCTTTCTTCACATGCCTGTCTCTAAAAACTTAAAGTATGAGCAACTGGAAAAAAAGCAGGACATAAAACTGACGGGAATGTAAACATATCAGAAGTCACAGCCCAAGATGAAGCAAAACACAATCTCCCATTAGTTGAAAACAAAGTGAGAGACCAGAGTGCGAGTTCACAGCTGTTTTTGAGTGACCAATCCAATAAGTCCGTACCTAATCAAATTACAACACTCTATCCAATTTCCGCACCAGGAAACATCCCCAAGGTCTAGTGTTTGTATCCCCACTTTCACATCCCCCCCCAACCACGCCACCTTTCACGAAATTCAATTACAGCAATAGTGAGATGCCTGTGGAACATGTAAATATCAAAATCGAGTAGGCCTACAGCCAATTTGTGGTTATCTCAAAGCAACAGGCCGGAATATCAGAAGACATTGTTGTACACAGGATTCATCAAAATTGGGCAGTTAGAGGCTACCTCACAAAAGGAATTGACAGAGAAAAACGTGGAATGTATCGAGTGAACAAGAATCTTCTCGCTCATCATGGCACATGTAACAGAGCCAAACAAACAAACAAACAATCCCGGCTTGTGGTTAGATAGAAGTATATCAATCGCAAAAAAAAAAATTGAAGTCAAATAACTAGTCATCAACAAGAGTAAAATGAACACTAGAAAAAAATCAAAATATTGCAACACTCGTAATATAAATACCTAAAATAGTCACAGCGGACTCGTATGCACATCCTCCGAACAAAATAGCAGATTCATATCTTTCAGTATTTTACAAACACGCATATTGACATAGTACATCTGGCAACAAGGACACACACAAAAGGTCAAATACACTCACATGATGTGTCTATAGACAGACACACACATGCAAGCACAGACGGACACACGCATGCATGCACACACGCACACACACACACACCGAAAAGTACCACAACCACATACACTCAATGTGCTTTCAGATACAGATCATAAAATCACAGTTACATACACTCACAGCATATACATCTACAGACATAAAATATAATCACAATCATAAGTCTACAAATAGAACATGTAATATCACTCAACAACATCAATGTACCTACTGTGCCACCTGAAAAGAATACAAAGCTAGAACAGCAGAATATAACAAAAGTATGACCACTGATAAAGCTATTAATAATACAAATTCTACAGGTAGCACCGCTACATATATCAAAACACCCTTTATACACCTTGGAATTATGAAACAACAATGTATCCAGTCAACAAGGCAATGGCCACAATATCAAACAATGGAATTGGAAACTCGCAAATTATGGACTTGGAGGCATAATGCTACATCCAATAAAGCAATAACCTATTTAAGAAACAAGAGGCTGGATCACTTACTGAAAAAAAAATTAGGTTTGTACTAAAAGCATAACATACAAGAAATTTCTTGAGGTGAAGTTTTTAATACACCTTTTTCGTGATCTAATAAGGTTTTTTAAAATTCAATATACTGCACCTCCCTTCTAACCAGATAGGGCCTTGATTACTATGAGGCAATAAGATATTCGATACGTGAAAAAAACTTTCTATGCAATGTATGACCTTCTGGCCAGAAAACATAGCGCATCAGGATAGATGAACAGCTTTCAGGAGACTCCTGTTTTCCTAATTATGAAAAAACAAAATCTGTTGCTTCTGGATGTGCTTGGAAAAAGCAGCAAGCATTCTAATAACTTTTTAAAAAATAAATCAGAGACCAAAAAATGTTCACCTTCTTCTTCTTTCTTCTCGTTCATGTCTTAGCAGACATCCCAGTCTCTAGAGCAAAGGCTGCAGTTTGCTACAGGTCCTCCAGCCCCCATACAGTTTTGAGTCAGTCTTTGCTCAGGGCTGGGCCAATATTTCCTTCTTCTAAGTACATCGAGTAGGCTTGTAGCACCTTCATTTTCTCAATCTTATTTTTTCAAATATCAGTACAATAACTGTAAAACGTTGCGGGGGATTTTCGTACTTGCCAATAACACACGTAAACTACCAATATACTATTTCAGTGAAGAAGAGTACATTAACACCTTAATGGCGAACAAGTGGTGAGGAATAGAAAAACTAGGGCAAAAAATAAAAACTATGTTGAAATTTGTGGCAAGTCAGTACGATCATAACCTATATTTAGCTAGAAACAGAGTATGACAATCGTAAAAACATAAAGGAGAAGACAAAGGAGTAGATCAACAGACCCCACCAAAATGGTTATCAAATTCCCACAGGAAGAAAAAAAAAAAGAAAGTGGACCATGGGAAAATGGCATCCTCGAACCACCCACAGCTCATCAAATATAACTTGTAGGAATAAACAATATGCCTCACAACCAGTGAAAATATCAACATCACCTTCAGGTAAATAGTGTGAAACCCAGCCAGGGAGCTTGACCAAAAAGAGAATCTCCCACCAGCCAGCCACTGGTGGCACAGCACAATACCCCAAGGTTTTAAATATACCCCCTCCCCTCTCCCCCAACCTCAAAGATGCTCTTCCAACACAGTGGCAAGAACAGGAAGGCATCAGCAAACAAGTGCACCACACATCACAACTGGTCCCTCTACGACATTATCAGGAAACCCTCACGAATCCTATCTCCAGGCAGGCGTTTCTGTCTGTCTGGGTGAACTTGTCCATGTAGCGGCAGGCACTGTTGTCATGGCGATGAAAGATGCGGTAGTGCTGCTGGTACAGAAGGCTGAGAAGTTCCAGCATGTGGACGTAGCGCTCACGGGGCGGTTCTTTGTCATGCTGGGGAGGACAGAAGGGTTGACGGTGAGCTTTTCACTTGAATCATTCCTTATCATTTGCTTTAAAATGCTCCTTACATGATCTGTAGTCGCTTGACAAAGGGAAATTATAATAAGAAAAACAGCAGAAGGGGGGGGGGGGGTGAGAAAATAAGCAGGACCTACCAGTGGCACCTTCCAAGTACCCGCTAAAATTCTTCTGTGTATCATGTGACAAGTTACAGATATAACATATCAACATGGTGTATCAGCCAAAGATAGTGTCAGAATGTTAGTGTTCTAGCGCCTATAAAATGGCAACTTGAACAGTATGCTTCCAAGGAAGTCGAGATTGTTTCAGAATGCTATTAGGTCTGCTGGGGTAATAATACAGATTGTAAAGCGTATAGAGCTCGCTGTTGAGCGGGAATTTGTGCTATACAAATGCTACCTATTATCATTATTACTACTTGACACAATAATATGGGCACAAATACATTTCAGTGGTGTATCACTAGACGCAAAACAAATAAAAATTATTTCTTTGTGGCTTATCATTTGACACATAGCTGATTTGTGGTATACAACTTGACACATAATACGTATTATTTTTTTCCCCCTTTTTTATGTATCATTTGACACACAACAGACATTATACATATCTGTGCTATGATACATAACAGACGTAACAGATTAACCCTTTGAGCCCTAGTCATTGGTAGACTGGTGACGCGTAAAATTGTCCATATGCCAAGCCACCTGTACAGCGGTGAGCGAGACCCTATCCCCGACCTGGCCCACCTCAGACAGAATGCGCACGGAAAACCGTGTTTACTACACCGGAAAATATTTATTATTTAAGACCTTTCTAAATTAGATGCTGGTAATGACAAAGACTACCCTGAGTGGCATATGGAATGTGATTCTGACATTGATATGCATGAAGGTGCGAATCGCTCAGGAGCTCAGGCAGAGAGGCACAGTAGCCTCAGGAGGTCAGGGTTTACAGGGATAATGCAGTCTGTAGATTCTAGTTGGACACCACAGACTGACCTGGTCGGGGTTATACTTGGAGCAACCATCACACTGGTGTAGCTCAATGAGTAACTGACCCACATTGCGGAGGCTGTCAGAGGTCAGGAGGTCGGGCAGTACCTCCCACTCCCATTCCTCTATGTCCATCTTCACGATGTGGATTGTGCTCTGAGGAGGAAAATGTCAATTTGGAATTTTTTTTAATTTGGTAATCAGGACAAAGGAGGATGCAACTGGAAAGCCCTCTATTTCTTTACCATACCTCTGTCATCTTTGTTTTTCTGTCTTCTGTTTTCTTTGTCCCTTGTGCTGAATGGTTGTTACTGTGTTGACGTAGAGAAAACTAATTATTTCTAGCTCAGACTTTTTAAAATTTTTAATGAAAAACTAACTGCTACTTTTGGTAGCACTCAACATATTGTTCTCTCTGTAAAGAACGTAAATAATTGCAAACATTTTACACTACCATTGACACAAATTACTTTTTGAGTGAATAATAAGAGAAGTGTGCGTGCCAAGGGGCATAATTAAATATTCCATTTGTATTCAGGACTGTAAGTTCCTTTACCTTGATGTGCTTGAGACTGGCCCGAATAGTATCAAAGCGAGACATGACCCAACCGTTCGGCAGCGTGCGATCTGAGTCAGCCAGACCCTGCTGGTAAAAAAATGAGTTCTCGCCACGTCTCTTGTTGCCCATTTTCATGCTGCCAGAATAAAAAAAAGAATTAACCTTTAGTTCAGTTTTAGTGCAAAGAAAAAACATAGAATGATAGATATGTCATTTAGTGCTTGGAAAGAATAAGATAAGACACACATACTGACAGACAGTCAGACACACACAACTGAAAGAAAGGAAAGAAGTAGGACTTACTAGAAGCGTCCTCCAACTACCAGCAGTCAACATTTGTATTTCTTCCATTTTGCTGCAGTTAAAAAATAATCCAAGTGGAATAGAAAATGTCAAAAGGATTTCCCTGAGCCTGTTTTTGCTCAAATTAAAGAATTCACATGAAAATAACACATTTGTCAGTTTGTTCTTGTTGAAGGTTAACATTTAGAGTAAAGAGACCCACATCAACAAAAGAGTAATTGAGACTACGTTAAACGGACGAGCAAAAGGGGACATAAAAGAAACAGGACCCATCAATGGCACCCCCAACCATCCATAGTAAACCATCCACCAAACAACAAAAAACACACAACCACCCTCCCCCCTCATAAATCTGATCTACTACATACTAAACTCATAATTTTAGTTTAGTTTAGTAAAGAGTTTTACGGCACTTGCAACACAATAAGGTCACATAAGTGCCGAAGATTAGAGGTGTTACAAGAGAGTAACAACAAAAGTAAAAAAGAAGGAGGAAAGATAAGGACGATAGATGTTTAAGAGGAAAGAAGGAGCAAACCTAACCAGAGCACCCGCCAACCACCCACAACGCATAATTTAGAATGGAAAACATTGCAACCAGGCAAATAACAAGGTTCCCTTTCCAACGACTCAAGACATGACACACTGATGACACATACCTTGGATCAAAAGAATAAACTTTGCACCCATAATTCTTCACCACAGCATCATCAAAACTGAAGTCATCGCCGACTCTGTCAAAGGAAAAGGACAAATTGCTTTATCTGACCATATGGACATGTTACAGGATACAGTCTGGTTCAGTTTGAGTAACAAAAAAAATACAACAATGGTCAGTTCATACTTTGAAAAAGCAAGATAAATAGAGACAAATAAGCAACATAGCTACTAAAGAAAAAAAAATCCATTGATGCCCACATATAATATGCAGCGGCTTTTAAAAAATCCACAAACACAATTCAAATTATAGGCCTTTTATCAGCAGAAGGGCAAGGTCGATAAAAACAACAAATCTGCAGAAGGGAACAACTCTGACCATTAGAGGTCACAGGCCTGTCAATAGTTAAGTTGCTAATTATTTTGTTGTGGCTGATAAAATTGAGGTCAGTCAGTGAGTATAGTATAGACAGAGGGTAAGGGATATATCTTTTTTTTAAATAAACGCTGTAACTCTGGAGAGCCTTCAGTTTTAGAAGCCTTGTAATAAAGGGTTTTCAGATGGTCTTTTGTTGCTGCCATTCTGCAATGGGGAATGATGTTTATATTTCATTTCCATATGACATCCTGTTACCTCCAAGCCACCCCCCCCCCCTCCCACTACAAAAATGTAAGTTATATTGCTTTTCGAAAACGCTCTCATTATGTTTTTCAAGCTGTAAAGATATGATTCCAGTTCTCACAACAAACACGTTGGTAGAAATTGTAGTTAAGTTAATTATTTTTCAGTTATTAAAAACGTAAAAATAATTCATAACACGTAACCATGTCTTCCCCTCGATCTTTTACCCTGTGGGTTCCAATCTAGCATAACAACGAAAGTGTTAGATTGGAACCCACAGGGTAAAAGATCAAGGAGAAGACCACGTGGAACCAGGAGAAGAGTAACGGAAATGGATGTACAGAAAAGTGGGAAGATGTGGAATGACATCAAGTGACTAGCCCACGATAGGGAAAGGAGGAAAGTGTTGGTTCGTGGCCTATATCCTGATCCAAGGTGAGAAAAGCAATGATGATGACGAACCATCCAAACTAAGTAAAGAGGACAACACCCTAAATCCAAAAAGGATACTCCGCGAGGTGGGTGAGTATGTGTGCTATGTGCCTTCTGGACTCCATATTAGGGCATATCCCATGACCAGTATAAATGACTTCTCCTAAAAGGAAAATACTTGTAAACAGGCAAAAAAAATTATAGATGAGGCCCTGCCTCATCCCCACCCCACTTCACACTCATACAAAAGCACAAACACCTACTTCATAACACCCTGATGGCCGGCCCCAAACAAAAGAGAAAAAAAGCCAAGCACTGAAAATCCCTTTTCAAAACCAAATTGAACTGAACATCCCAGTCTTGTTAACCTGTGATGCGGACAACAATATGCACACTGGTTTCAAGGTGCATTCTACTGACCTTTACTCCCCCACCCCCCCCCCCATTAGGGCTGGGCAATGAGTCGCTTTAGCAAAATCCGGATAATAAGTTAGTTCACCTCTTCGGCAAATAATATGTTTTGAACCGCTTCGGCAAATGGGTTAGAACCACTTCGACAAACGGGTTAACGGGTTAGTATCACTTCAACAAATGGGTGCACCCCCACTTCGGCAAACGGGTCAGGAAAGAGAGTTGACAGTCTGAATTCGGATAATGTTTCTTAGACAATTATCCGATTAACGGATAGTTTATCCGGATTTTGCCCACCTCTACCCCCCCCCCCCCCCTGTTGGCATGATCATCCTGAAGTAATAACCACTACAGCACTCAAACACAAGTAAACTTACCCAAACGAGTAGACAACACAGGGTGGCTTGGGCACATGTGGCTTATCCCCACACACATCCCAGCCGCCATCTGTCACCTTTCCTACTCTGTGGATCTCTTCACACTTCACTTGGATCACGCTCAAGTATCTGGAACACAGAACATTGTAAAGCACAAACAGTCAGTGAGAGTGCAGCAGCATTTTGTTTTAACTCTAGTAAGTCTTGTGTTTTACGGCACTTGCAACACAATAAGGTCAAATAAGTGCCGAAGATTAGAGGTTTTTTTAGTACAGGTTTTACAGTGCTCGCAACTGCATAAGGTCATATGAGCGCCAGATGATTAGAGGTGCTACAAGAGAGTAACAAACATAAAAAAGAAGAAGGGGAGATAAGGACGATAAATGTTTGATAGGAAAGAAGAAGCAGACCACACCAGAGCACCCACCAACCACCCACGCAGCATTTCGGGGGAGCGGGGGAAGAAATTAATGAGTTGTAATTTACAACAGCTCAACACAACAACAGTCACTGTTCTCAAGAGGACAAGAACCTTTCTGAAAAAAAATTGTTTGAGAATCAGATAACAGATAAACCCCACATATGCACCCGCAAATTATCAAAATATAGCAAAACCTGCTCTAACTGCCACCTGTCCAAGACAATCACCTGTACAGAAGACCACTTCTCACCTTGCATTTTCTCTATATTATGATGACACTGTCTAACATTCTAACATGTCCCCATGTCCTCCTGTCTTGGACAATTTTTAAAGTAAAAAGTCTGTTCTGACAAACAGCAACGCATCTGCTTTCCAGCCCCCCACCCCCCCTCCTTTTTTCCTCTTTCAACATATACCTTTCCAATATCTCTTCCTCATTACATGAACATCTCCTCTCATGCTTTCCTCCAATCCCTCCCTTGTTCATTTGCTGCCCCCTCTCCCCTTCTTTCAATCCATCCCTCCCTCCCTCCTCTCCCTCCGTCCCAGTTTCATTTTTTATGAGACATCTAAACATCTGACTGTTTAGGCCTACAACAGCATCATTGAGACTCCAGGACTCGAACCCCTCACCTGTGGTAAAGAGCCGACAGCTCAGCATGCGTCATCGCATGTAGCACTGTGTTATTGGGGATGAGAACAGGCTTCAAACCGTCTGCCAACACAGCCTGGGCACAAGGGAAGCAAAAGTAAAGTGAATGAGATCATTTTTGCAAGTTTACTATTTCACATCTTAAATAAACAAAATAAGTTCCGCAACAAGGGGCCCAATGACTCAAAATGTCTGGTGTTTACCTGTCTACCCGTGGGTACGGAGTTCATGCCCCGTCAGTGTGGGGTTTTTTTCTTCTCATTTTCTACACTCCCTGATCCTAGTAGGTAGAATCATGCATTTAGCCTTCTGGGGAGAGGACAAAAATTTTCAGAGGTCCCGAAAGTGGAAGTTTCCATAAAGGTCTTTTCGGTTGTGCACATGAGTTCGACATCTGAGTGGGGAAGTTATATTTTAACAAAAACCTCCGTCAGTCTTTTGGGAGATGGTATCCAGTTCTGCTTGGTTGGCCCTGCCAGGCAGGGGTGAAGCAGTACGCCTCCTACATGCTTAATCATGTTGATTTTCGTGTAAACAGTATCTAAAAATTAAAAACAACTAAAGAATAAATCCATAAAAGACAGCTGACGCCACAGTTCAAAAGACATTTCATAATTACTCACCTTAGCAGCATCACTGGAGAGACCTTGAGATCTTTGCCCATCTGGTGACAGGCAGAGAAAAAAACAACTTCAAATATTTTTAAAAAATCAATGGCCTTTCAAAGACTGAATGTAGGCCTCCAGTTTAACACTCACACATTCTCTCTCTCTCCCTCCCTCCTGTCCTCTCTCTCTCTCTCTCCCTCTCTCTGTCCGTCCGTCCCTCTCTCTCTCTCTCTCTCTCTGTCTCTGTCTGTCTCTCTCTG